TGAAGAAGAAAGAAGGATGGCCAATAGACACATGAAGAAATGCTCAACCTCCCTAGCCATAAAAGAAATGCAAATCAAAACAACATTGAGATATCACCTGCCCTGGCTCTCTTGTGGCTGGCCTTTTTCCTCTGTCAGCTGTTTCCTTGCTGCACAGCTGGAGGGAATCTGCTCAGGAGGAAGCGGTGGGGCTTGCTGCCCTCAGCAGCAGCCCCAGCCAGGCAGGGAGAGTTGATTCCAGTATTTCTCTTTGTTTCTCTAAGGCACTCTGTCTCCCTCCCACAGAAAACTGAGTCCTAGCTCCTCTTTCAAACATTTGTGATCTAGCAATCCCAATCTCTTCCCCATGATTCCTCAGTCATGGTATGCAGATGCTTCCTGCCTTTCCCAGTGCTGTGTTACTTCCGCATCTGTCTTTTAAGTCCCTGCCTGTCTTTTTAACCAATTCCCTGTATTAAATTCCCCGTGTTATAATAACTCATGTGATTCCTACCTCTTGGATTGTATCCTGTTAGATACTGGGGCCTGACTAACTTAAGGACCTCTTCTAACATATTGGGGACCCTGCCCCCTTCTCGTACATGCCTCTGGAATTGCACCAAGTGGGCACGTTTAATCCTAACAGCCCAGTGCTGCTGAAGCTGATGGTCTCACTTTTCTTCTGGTACCGAGTGTCAAAGAAGTTCAATGGCTTTTCCATGGTCACCCAGCACATTACAATTCCAACTGGGACCCAGCTCTCCCTCTGAGTGAGTCATGGGGCAGAGGTGAGTGAAGGAGAGGATGGTGATCACAAAGGCAGTGTCTTGAGATGAGGAGAGCCAGGGATAATATCCCCAACAGTGATAATAGCCAGGCCAGGGAGAGGAGAGCTGGCTGGTGATGTTGTAGGCAAAAGCCAGGATGGGGTGAATAAATATGGGCAAGGGTAGCTACTGCCTTGAAACTGCTGCCTCTTTCCTAAAGAGGTTTCTACACCTTGAGAAAGATTAAACCACAAAGAAAATGAATTTTCTTTAGCATTATTCAAATATCTTATATTTGCAACCCTTTAAAATATGTGGAGCACGATACAGTGTAAGACATTCTGTCATCTGACAGCACATTAACATTTGGTTCCCTTGATGATGTTCTGGTTCTCATAATGGTATTTCTCTTTTCAATTCTACTGCTAGGAAGCTCACAATTCAATGGGTAGCCTGATGTGGGAACCCATGGCTGTCATGATTTGCCTTGCTTTATTTCCTTTATGTCCATTTCATTTCAACATATTTTATTAAACATTGTATACGTCCTTGTGAATCTTCTCAAAATATTTTGGAAAGAAATTCTAGGATATTTCTCCTTCCATGTGTATCTTCACCTATAATTTCTTCTCTACCTCCATTTATACCTTAGTTCTGTATTTGTCCTTCATCTATATCTCTGTCAGTACTTTTATCCTCATTGATAAATGTTAAGAGACAAAGACCATTCAACTCTGTCTTGGTAATTTTCCAGTTGTATGTTTTAACCCATATTTAAATACGAAAGCATAATTATGACACTTTTGATATGAAGATGGTTCACATCTGGTGTTGGCAACCACTGTGTTTCCATAAGAAAGCTGTTCAATGACAGACATACTAATGGGTCTGTGATAGAGAACCCAAAACTTAAAAAGTTCTAACCCATCAAGAAATCTCATTCATCATTTCATTTTTTGGAAAGGATATAAAAAATGAAATGCCAAAGCTATAATGTCAGGACCGTTTAAAATGTCAAGTGCTTGTTGTTGCATAGCCAGGCTGTCTGCTCTTCTGATCAAACCTCCAACTGGCATAATAATTACAGCTGATACATCACATTTTCATGCACAACTGGACCCAGATTTATAACACATCATATGGAAACATTCACACTGCCCAGGCTGAGCATTCTTCTTTGCCTATACAGCTTACAGTTTTTAACTCTGAGCAAAACATTATTACTAATTCAAGACATCATTCAAGGTAAAGGAATGAGAAATCAGGGCAGAGGAAACAAAATTCCCCAATGGATCAGAATTCAGTCATTTATAATATATAGATACAACAAGAGCCAAGAGGCAGAGAACACATTTGCCAAATGAATGTTTAATCTAAGAATGCTAAACTGTGGAGACACTTCACAATAAGCCAGTGCTCTTTAAAGATTCAGCTTAATTTAAGTATACAAGGTAGCATACACATGAGCTCTATTTTGAACAGATAGATATGGAGACAGTTCTTCATTCTTTCATTCATATATTTATTTTACAATCCTGAGGATTGAACTCCAGGCTATGTGGTGTATGAACCCAAGGCTTCACACATGCTACACCCTGCCACTTGATACAGACTCTCAGCCCTTTTGGTTGTTTTTTGGTTTAGAGATAGGCTCTTGCTAAATTGGACCTCCCAAGTAGCTATGATTATAGGCATGTGCCAACCATACCAGGTTCAGTCCTTCAGCTTAATCATCATATATTAATATTTGGGAAGAACATTAATGCCCACATAAAAGCAATAATGTATCTGTGTATGAACTTTAAAAGTTTCTATTGGATTCAAATAAAATCTATATTAATAAGACTATACCAGTTATAGTAAAGACTAATGCCAACAACAGCACGTATGTGAGGAAGATTTCGATTCTACTCTACTAAAGGTTTTGGGTTCACTACAAGCCTGGAACGAGATTCTCACAGTGACTACATGTTCACCTTCCAAACCAGCCTTGTTCTGGTGGTTAGAGGGCTCTTCTGTGTCTGGTTGCTTCCCATTACAGATGACTTTCAGCACATTGGAAAGGTCAAAGCTCTTGGAAACAATTTCTAGGATATCCTGATCTTTCTCCATGCCATTGATAAATTCTTCTAAAGTCAACTCTCCTGTAAAATAATAAAAGAGCAAGTAACAAAAGGCTCAAGTAACTAGAGCTCCATAGTGCTGTGACACATAGCATACATTTACTGGTATTTATTATATTGATGTTTTTCTTTTTGTATTCTTTTTTTGGGGGGGGGTCTGAACTCTGGGCCTGGGTGCTGTCCCTCAGCTCTTCGGCTCAAGGCTAGCACTCTACCACTTGAGCCACAGTGCTACTTCCGGCTTTTTTTCCCCTGCTTATGTGGTGCTGAGGAATCGAACCCAGGGACTCATGCATGCAAGGCAAGCACTCTACTACTGAGCCAACTTCCCAGCCCCATCTTTTTGTGTTCTTATACCTCTATCAGGATGGAAGACCTGTGGGAAATCTTCATATAAAAAAAAATAATTCACAGCTGTGTGGCAGTGGCTCATACCTGTAATCCTAGCTACCCAGGAGGTTGAGATCTGAGAATCATGGTTCAAAGCCAGCCTAGCAGGAAAGTCCGTGAGACTCTTATCTTCAATTAACCACCAGAAAACCAGAAGTGGCACTGTGGCTCAAGTGTTAGAGAGCTCTCCTTTAGCTGAAGAGCTCAGGGACAGTGCCCAGACCCAGAGTTCAAGCCCCCACGGGGAAAAAAAATTCACTGATGGGACTACCAATGGAAATAAAGATAATGTTATTTTTAAGAACATCAGGTAAGACACCTGTTGAAAGGGAGCACATACACATCTACATCTCTATACAATATTGGTTATCTGACTGAACTTCCTGAAGTCCTGAAGCTATGACCATGTCATAGGAGCAGGCATAAAGTCAGGAGAGGATGACCACATGGCTGTTTTCAATATTTTTCTCTCTGAGAAAATAATCCCTGAAGCTGTTCAAATCTGTAAGTGAGCTGCAGCATGTGTTCATCCCACATGTCATTACTGATCACTTCTCTTTTTACTGACCACAGGCCTCTTCTTTTTTCCTGCTTTTGACACTCAATTTTACCACTTTAAGTTAAGGCTTAGTCTTGTGCTGACCAGCCCATGGCTAAAATTGTGGGACTTGTACCCATGTGTACCAGCTGCCATTTTAATCCTATTATCCTCATTGTACAAGATAGTTTTGCTTTTGGGGGGATGGGGATAAAAGGGATTCTCTGTTGTCTTAAATCATCTGAATCCAAATTATGAATGTTTTGTAGTTGAAGGATACAGAGGTAGCTCTGGATCTCAAAGTGATCACATGTAATTGAGTTTGTAACTAAGTGGAAAATCTTCCACAGACAAGTCCATTTAGCAGCCAGAAGCAAAAAGCCAGTGGCTACTAAACCCAGGTATTAACACCATACCTCTGTATATGACAAGAAAAAGGCTTGGGCAAAGTTCAGCTTACACAGCGACGAATAAATATCCCCTTTGCATAAGGAAGCATACAACCATAAAATTAACCAAAGTAAAGTGGAGAGGACAGCAAGCAAACAGAGGAAGGTGTTGGGGAGGGTCACATGTACAGTACAGGATGTGGCTCAAACAATTAAGCAGAACTGCCTTTCATATTTCCAACCACAGCTGAAAATGTCCAATCCAAGAGACTTTTCAAACTTCTAGGAGCTCAGCATGCTAAAAGGGGAGCAGTAGTGGAGGGAGAGACTTCCACCATGAGAGTTTATCATTTCTGCTGGCCATAGGAGAAGCTATAGCTGAAGGTAACATGGTGGTACCATCTCAGCTGAAAAACAACACAGTCTACCAATGTGGAGTGGGAAAAAAAGATAGAATTCTTCATTGCTTTGTCATTTGCCTCAAAATACCAATGACCCTTACATGTTAACTTCGTTCATTTACCTAATCACTTGTCATAAAACATCTTTTCCAAATTGTCAACTCTACCTTCAGTGACTTGTAAGGTTGACAATAGCTAAATTCCTTCTTTTGAAGTACTCCTCACCCCCTTTCCCTGTAGTATGCACCATCCATTCTTCAGACATGCCCCTGCCACGTGGGAATAGGCACAATTAACTGCAGGGTTGGGATGCATTGTCTCTCTTCATCCATGTTTCTCTAACATTGCTTCCGATCTTCTTTGACTATGGATTTATATCCAAACAAATTAAAGAGATGGCTTGCAAAACAGGGTTCCTAGGAAGGATCTGTGTAGTCCCAGATCGCCACTAAAAAGTGTACCCAGTGGCACTCCAGTGGTTCAAGCCTGTAATTCTAAGGGTTGTGATTAGAGGCCAGTCCAGGCAGGAAATGCCATGAGACTCCTATCTCCAATTAACCACAAAAAAAAGAGAGAGAGAGAGAGAAAGAGCTGGAAGTAGAGCTGTGATTCAAGTGACAAAGTGCTAGCTTTGAGTGACAAAGCTCAGGGATAGTGCCCAGGCCCTGTATTCAAGGCCCAGGATTGGCACCAAAACAAAAACAAAAAGCAAGTACATCCAGCAAACACACAAAGCCTGCAAGAGACGTGTGAACTGGAGATCACAGGATTCAGAAAGATTCAGTTGGTTACTGAGTTTATTATTGTTTTATATTTATGTTTTGTATTGTGAAAATACCGTGCAGAGGAGTTACAATTACATGAGCAAGGAAATGAGTACATTTTTTTATCAAAGATTGTTGCCTCCTCCTTTGTTTCCCCTACCATCCTTGCTCTCCCATCTCCCCCTGTACTTGTTTTATATTTAATAACATGCTTTTGAAGGGCATAATTCAAATTGTCAAATTGTACATTTATATGTTGAAATGTGCACACATATATATGTATAACTCACATCTACTGTTTGGGATTGTTTCTTGTGCTGGTGGACAATATTACAGGTGTTACTCCATAATTTATAATCAGTTCTAGCAGCTTAATTGGTAATAGGACAGCTATTCATGGATATTTAGGTTAGCTCTGGTTTTACAAAATAATGATCCTTTACATATTTTACAAAATGATAATATTCCTAGGTCATGCATTTCTTCACATCAATTTTAAATTTTTTTTCTAATAACTGGACTTGCACCCAGGGTTTTATGCTTTTGCTTGACTTACTTGCTCATGGCTAGCACTCTACTAGTTGAGCTGTGCCTCCAGCCCAGTTTTTTGCTGGCTAATTACAGATAGTCTCCTAGACTTTTCTGCCTGGGCTGGCTTTGAATTGTGATCCTCCATGTCTCAGCCTCCTGAGTAGCTAGGATTAGAGGCCTGAGCTGCCAATGCCCAGCAACTGTTTTCCTTTGTGCAAATACATATTTATGTGTTTATTTATTTTTATTGTAAAGATGATACAGTTCCATGAGACAGGTAATGAGTACATTTCTTCTTGAACAGTTTTCTCCTGGATTTTCCCTCCTGCCCAAAGTGTGTATTTTCAACATAGTGTTGTCTAGCAGACACTAGTGTCTGCTGCATTGGTTCACTCTTAGTCCCACCATTTCTGTGCTCTCCCTTACCCTCCCTCAGATGAACTTATGTACAAGATAAAAGGTACAGAAATCAAAATCAGCAACAAAGGAGAAAAGAAGCAAAAAAACAAAACACCTCTTGTTTCCTTTTCTTTGATTTCATTTTGATAAACACCATTTTATATGATTGTATGTGCATAGCTATTGAGCCTCTGGTACTGAGGATTGAACTTAGAACTTCAAGCTTTCTTTGTTTGCTTGCTTGTATGACACCTTACCACATCTCCAGTCCCATTTTTTCTCACTGACATCTTAAGTAATCTTTTATAGCAAAACCAAACACCCTCCATTCCAAAGAACAATGTATAAAAAATAAAATAAGTAAAGGCCAAATTTTATTGCTTATACTTGCTTTAGTCATTTTTGCTCTAAAGATGTTAGTCTAGTTTGAAAAGAAATTAATCAGCAGTGTAAGAAATACTGACTGTTTTCTGTTCATATTCCTTTTTGTCTTCATTTCCTGTAAAATTGTGCAAGGGGCTGAGAAGCAAGGATGGGCCAGGAAAAATCAGGGGACAAGGACATCCCCATTGTCACCAGAGCGTGCTGGGGCTGATGTCAAATGAGACTCCAGGTTTTGTGTTTATTAGCCAGGTGGCACTGGAGGCTTGTTTCAGCATTTTGTAGCAGGTATAACTTCCAGAAGTTTCCTCTCCATGGGCAACTGGGTTGCTCCTACTTCTGCCTACTTTTCAGTGTCCCAGTTTGATTCAATGTGACCTGAATCAAAACCCTGGCCTTCCTTGGTGGTAATTCAAAGAAATATCTTTGTATTCTGTTCCTGTTTTCTTTTACTTAAAATATCTGCTCAGGGATTGGCCTCCTTTTCTTTCTCTCCAGCCTCTTTACAAGGTCACTGTTACTGCTGAGAGTCATTCAGATCACCCTTCTCTCCAAGCTATTAGACTCTGTCGATCTGTCTGCACTAGGTGGGGTGCTGTCTGCCTGGATGGGGTGATTAGCACCTGTGATCCTCCTGAATCAGGCCAAGAACGACTCCTAGCTGTGGCATGATGGGCCGTGGCTTGCTCTTCTTTGGAAGAATGTCTTGTCTCATTTATACTGATTTTCCTCATTGTCTTCTTGGCTTACGTTTTCTAATATTAGGGATGTTTATGATTCTCTCCAAGCTCTCCTCCCTTTAAAAAATATATATAAAACTAACTGGTTACATCCTAGTAAACCTGTATACTCAATGTTAAACAACAACCAAACAAAAAGGCAACATAAAAAGAAAAATAATTCCCTTTGCTTTTTCAGGTTCTAGTTCCTGCTAACCAATCCAATGTGTGTTTTGCATAAGCATATATGTTAATTTCTAAAATATTCTTCTAGGTACTTTTCCTTTTATAGGTAGCATCTGATATTTTACTGGTTTGTTCTTTGTGGCTACTTTTATTTTTTGTATCATGTATTCCATGAAGGCATTCATTTATTTCCAGTTCCTTATGTAGCACACACTGACTTTCAGCAACAGGCATTATGCAAGTACACAAACCAGAGGTTCGTCTAGAATTAAGCCTATACCTTACTTTCATTAATCATTTTACTGTCAATAATTTTTCTGTCC